GAAGTGGTGGAGTCCCCATCCCTGGAGGTATTTAAAAGATGAGTAGATGAGGCACTTAGGGACATCGTTTAGTGGGCATGGTGGTGTTGGGTCGACGGTTGGACTCGATGATCTTAGAGGTCTTTTCCAACCTCAATGATTCTATGATTCTATGATTCTATACTAGGGACCCAAAACTGGATACAGTATTCTAGATACCAGGAACTTTTCTCCTGGAGAAAAAAAAGAGGATTATTTTTTTTCCTGAAGGTCTCCACTTGTTTCCCTCCTTTGAGCATGCCTGTGTATACAACCCTGTGTATACATACAGTTGCATGTTCACACATGCAGATATTCTGCACCTAAATCTCTCTTCCCTAATTTTGTATAATGAAATTATATTTGGCTTTTTCTGGGTTACGCTAATGTTAGTGAAAGACTGATCAGTATAAAAATGCACATTTTAATATTACTGTTTACACATGTATGCATTCAAAATTTGTTAATATATGCACACAGTCATTACTTTTATGACCAAACCCCTAAAATGTGGTTGTGCATTAAGGCATGGCTTTAGGTAACCCTTGTACACTTTAAAGTTAGCCTCTAGTATTTGTTTTTTTTCTTAAATTTGTTTGTCCTAAGTTAAAGGATGATGTAGAAATCTCAGTTAAAACAAGGAAACAAAGAAGAAAAGTATGAGAAAATGCTTTTTCTAAGGCCAAGGAAGACCTAAGAGCAGAAGGAGAAGGCACCAAATGGAGCCAAAATTCCCAAGCCGCTGTCATGCTGGCACCGCAGAGATGACAGAAGGTGGGAGAAGCTGGCAAAAGGATGAGAGAACAGTAGGTGAAGGGTATGTACACCCTGCATAATAATGTGTCTCATTGCAGCTCTACAGTTCAGATGAGGAGTGGAGCATGTGTGGAAGCCTATATTTTGCTCACTGGGGAGCTCTGAAGTCCAAAAGAGAAATAACTCCAGCGAAACGTAGTCTTGAACAGCAAATCGTCTAGCTAACTCACCTGGATCAAAGCACCAAACTTCCACCTCAGTCCAAAAGAGGCTGTCTGAAAAACACTCTCAGTGCTTACTCTAGATTACCATAGCATGGCAAGCAGTAAAAGGAAATAAAAAGACCCAGTAGACATCTACACAAGCATTCCTTAACTAGTCTCCACATACAAAACAGAGAGTAAATTTTCACTCATTTGGGATGGCCTGGGAAATGCACTCTCTACTTTGTCATTCATGATTATTGTGGCCAGCCCACCCTTGGCCCGATACAGTCCCCAAAGCTTTATGCACACATGCCATATATTCTTTTCTTCATCTACCTCACCTGGCATGTGTTCAAAGTGCTGCCACACTATTGCATGACAGAGGCTGCAGATGTTCATGTAATATATGGGAAACTGTAACTGAAATGTTAAGGTGTTCATAAGAATCCTCATAATGGTGCAATTAATTTCTAACCAAGGCAAAAGATAGGCACGAGACCTCCAACATTGCTACTCATGCACTTATAGGAGCCCTTCTTGAACATGGTGATGGATGTAAAAGGCAACAATTCCAGGTGGTCTTTGGTTTTCCTATCTGTGTTTCTGCATGCTTGGACAGTGTCTCTATACAGAGAGGTTGTGGAGTCTCCATCCATGGAGATAATCAAAACCCATCTGGACGTGGTCCTGGGCAACTGCTCTCGGTGGCCCTGCTTGAGCAGGGGGGTTGGACAAGATGACCTCCAGAGGTCCCTGCCAACCTCAGTCAATCTCTGCCTCTGTGTGTCCACTTCAGAATGCATTACAAAAAAACCCATCCTCTAAGAACAATGAGGTAGGAGATAAAATCTTTCATTTTTGATGTTCTGAACTACTATGTAACTTGTATAACTTAGTAGTGATACAATAGTTCTTGCCCCAGGGGATATTCAGATGAGAATTTCCACACCTTATGACTAAATCTTGTGAAATACCATCATCAAACACCATGAAATTCTGTCTGTTCAAATTAAGGGCCATAAGTTAATAACATGGTACATTCTAATGGTGATTACTGCAAGTCATTATTGTTAACATTTCTGAAATTTAAAGCACTTATATCAGTAAACTGAGGCTGCTGTCTACTACACTTGTTAAATACTGTATGTTAGTGCAAACTTGACACACTATCTCAAAAACATAACTCAAAAGTCAGCGAAAAATCTGCAATGTGCAGAGACCAACACAAGCAAACTCTTAATTTCTGAAATATCAATACGAAAATTGCATTTCTGTTTTTAAATTATTCTACAAATCCCATTTAAGTGAGTAATAAGGGCACTATAATAAATTCTTTCTAGCTTAGTAAATCATACCATAATTTGTGCACACACTAAATGCTGACCAAATTCATTAAAAGCAATAATCACAAATTGCTTGGGGTTTCTATTCACTATTAACAGGCTTTAAATAAATGCCTATGAGATTTAGGAACAAAAGTTGTTTTTGAAACTTCCCTCCAAGGTTTTAATAAACTTAATGAGAAGGGGAAACTCTAAAAACCTCTAGAAACCTGAGTATTTTTCACTTGTAAATGCTGAAACACTGAAAACACACACAGTTCTGCTACTGCAAATGCTTTTTAGTCATAACTAACTAGTCCTCTTTATTTCCAATGAACATAATATTCACACTACATTTATTATTTACTTCTGCAGCCCACATCCCTCATCACAGACATTCGGCTTTCAGATTCACAATTTTCTGCTGTGTTGATGCCAATTCTCCTGCCTTTAACCTGCTGGCAGCTCTGTATCCCCTCTCACACAGGAGGTCAGGATGAAATGAGAGCTGTAACCCAACATCACTCCATAAAACAACCTAACTCCTTCACTGGACCACACAGGGGTTTTCCTTAGGGACTAAAACCCACTGATCCATGCAAATGTTCAGTGTAGCCCACCAAAATTAATGAGAGAATGGCTATTTCTCTCATACTACGTACTGCTACAGAATGTAAGGAATTAAAATGTACATATATTTTAGAATTACAGATTTTATTATTTTAAAATCTTTGTTGATTAAGTTAGGTATGTGCAAACAACCAGGGAAGAAACAAGCACTTATGTCAACTGGTTCTTTTGTCCTCGTGTTTTTAAGTGAATGCATTGCTATAACACAACTTTTTAATTTATATGAGAATCAACTGCGAGCAACCTTCTGCTTCCCTTAGAAGAAACTAATAGAAAATCTAGGCTATAAGAAAAAGAATTCTATTTCAAAGAGAGGGTTGGTGAGCAGTAAAGCAGAAATGCAGGCCTTGATTCATTGATGTATTCACATTTCCAACAAATACCTATTTGATAAGGCCATTTCCTCACTCACAGTCAGACACAGTACAGAAAAATTTCCCCTATGAGTCACTGATTTATATTAGTATTAATTATTTTACCTGTAATAAACACGCAATGTCTGGATTTCTTCTTCTAATTTTTTGCACTGTTGAAGAGCGGCCTCTTTTTCTTGTTGCAAGGCTATCAAGTCTGCCTGCAAAACAATAAACAAAAGATAAACAATTTATTCAGAATATCCATATTCCTTTGAAAACATAACAATCCTTTGTGCATTCATTTCAGTCATGCTTTATTATGATTACCTATATAAAGTTATACTGTCTTGTAATACTGCCTATTTAATTCTTAAGAAAAAATCCTTTCTTGTTCTAGCATTGCAATTTTTTCTAGGTTTTTTTCCCAGCAGGATGATGTTTTGAATGGCTTCCCTTGCGTATATGGTAAACTTTTTGAATGGCTAAGGTTAGACCTCTTCAGTTCCGCCAAGTGTTTCTCAACAAACATATTTCATATTGATATAATATTCCTGTAGTGTTGACCAACATATAGAGAGCGAAGCAAGGCACTCAGCCACAAACTACCGATGCGTGACTCTTGGTTCGCACACGGCTCTCCGGCTGTGAAGCCTGGCTCCTGTGCTGGGAGCCACTGGCTGATGTTACCGGCAGGAGAGCGGCCGGATAACCCGCAGCCTGAGCGGCGGCAGGCGATGAGCCCGCGGGGACTGCTGAGGCTGGCACTGCCGTCTCGCTCTGGGATCTGGGTGCATTCTCACCCAGGATCTGGTTTATAGTGGAGCGAGGGAATCCCTGAGAAACCGCTGTCATCTCCCACCTGTGAACCCTCCCGGATGTTCCCCCTCCCGTTGTTTATTCACACCGCGCTGCGAAGGGCTTGTGACTCACGGCCATTATGGAAATTGCAGCATGCGGCTTGTAAGGTCAGGAAGGTAGCCAGCCCCGACACAGCCTTACAGTTAAAGAGGAGGTAGGAGAAATAAGTGCTCAAATATATTTAATATGGCTCTATAGCTTAATCACCATTAATTTTAAAATGTCCAGTTTCAATAGCACTGCAGGGCTCCCTTGAGAGCCCAGGTACCATATAAATTATCTTAAAATCAGCGGATGATTAATTATTGTAACAACAAATAAGACCGGGCTTGCACAGCAATTCTTTGACACATGAGCCTGAGCGTTGGGCTGCTTTCCAATGTTTTTAATTCATGGTGTAAGTTATTAATTGTACAAATTGTAGAGCCCCAAACCAAGAGGCACATGTGTGAGAAATGCTGACTGCAGATTCTGCCAACTCTTCAGGACAGTGTTGTGGAAAAGTTTCTTGGTAAATTAAAGACCTGTTACATGAGCTACGAACACATGAAGGGAAATGCACAGAGTTCAGCCTCTAGCTCTGCCAGACTCGCTGTATAATCATGAACGACTCTGTCTGTATGCCTCAAAATTTCTCTCCTAAAACAGGGCTCCCACTTGCCTCTGTTTCCTGTTTGTCTGTTAAGACTGTAAGTCTTCAAGGCAGGTGTTTTACTGTTTACTGTCAACTCCCAGTCATCTATGGGCAATTTATTCTGCTGGTTGATTAATCATGTCCTGATACATGGCTGACTCCTGGCAAATTTTATTAAACACTGCATTGCACAAATGCAGCTACACAACCAGTCTCTGCACCGTGCTGCTCAGTGTGTCACGTTGCACCCAGAGTTTTGCATTGCCAGGGTACAGGACCCACCACTGTAATGGGTCCTGTAACAGACATTCATAAAATTCTAACTGGAAGTTTCCTGGAGAATAAAGACAAACTTTCTTACTATATGGAGGGTTCCTTCAGCTTTAAAAGCAGAAGACGTTAATGTTTAACCTCTGAGTGACAGTGGTTTGGAGCTTCTGATACTGAAAACAATGTACTGGATGCTGGCAAGCCCTAACTCCTGTCAGCAAGAGGTTAAAATCCTCTGCAGGTGAGCCTCTTGCCCAGTGCTGCTTGCTGCCTTGCAAGCAGAACTCACAGAACACAAGGATGTTAGCCAAACCAAGCTATTTTCTGTAATTATACTGTTCTGTAGGTGAAACAACATTCTTAAAAATTGGAAAACACGCTTGAATCAAAGTAGGTGGTTTGTTCTAGAGGCCAATAATTAACATCCTTGCCAATTTTCAGTGTACTGTGAAGTGTGATTGAAATGGTAGACTGGAAGGAAATGTTTGCAGCTGACACACCTACTCATGGAGAGATTAACGACTTAGTCTCTTTGGAGAACTATCATAAAAAATACACCTTATGTTCCACTTGCTTTTCAGGACAAAAGTCAGAAGGCACTAGAGTCTGAAGACTCTTATTTATGTCAGTTTTTCAGCAGAGAAAACTGCACTTATTTGACTGGGTTTGCATCTGGGTTCGCACCAGTAAAAATAACAGCAGGATCAGGTGCTTTGGATTTAAAAAAAACCAAAACAGCTACAAAAACTGAAAGGAAGAGAAGTAGACATTTGCTAACCTCCTCAGTAGCACGTAGTGGCATTGATACTAGGGAGCTGCATGAGACCAACAAAAATTCAAGCACAGGAGTTTTTGTGCACAGCATGCAGCCATGCGACAAAATCACCCATCATTCACAGGCCTGAAGAGTGGTAAACACAAATGACTCAAATATCCTACCAAAAGAGAGATGCCTTCCTTCACGAGAAGAAGGAAAGCAAAACAGTGCCCATCACAAAGTTAAATTGCTAACTAAAATAACGGTGCCTGCACTACTATAAAACATTTGGAAGACTCCTATAATGTGTATTGAAATCCATCCATAGCGCACATGGCAAAAATCCTACATGAGTTCACCTCTAGTAATAACAATAGTTGCTTGGGAACTTTTTAACAAAATATTATTCCTTTGGAAAAAGTCAAGCTGTGGAAATCGGAACTCTTCACAGAAATCAGTTTTGATTAAATTTTTTTGGTAGGTAGGGTAAAGAAGGAGCAACAAGAAGAAAAAGAATTACACTCAGGTTCCTCTGGTGGAGGTTTTCCCTAAAAAAGTCAATTTAGAGGTGAGGTCGGTCACCACTTTGGTATAGGGGTCACCCTCAGTGAAGTTCCTGTTTAACCCTGAAAGGATATCCTGATCACTGGGATATGGTCTCTTTCTCACAATTTTGTTTTGCCCACAAGCTCCTACGCTGTCATATTTGGTTTAACGTGGATAGATCCTTCCCCCTTCTCTGTCCCCCAACCCACTTCCCTGCAAAAGAGAATTCTTATTTCTACACCTCTCCCATTTTGCATTTTAGCAAACAGTTACTTGTTGCAAATTTAAATTTTCCAATTAAATCTAGAAGCTAATTGCTACATATCAAACTTAGAATAGCCAGATCTTGACTAAGAAAATCTCATTACTGATCCTTTTGCTGTAGCTTTCGTTTCAAAATATTTAAATGAACAATGCTATGTGTTTCCTTAATGCGAAGGCTGGAAAAATACAAGAATTAAGCAAAGGAAAACAGAGGGTAAAACTAATTTTTATTTTTTCCTAATTCCTCCAGGGCAAACATGAGCACCCTCAACTCTAATCTAAATGGAAAGACGTAAGAACACACAGCATCCTACGCTGTCAGGTTCCCTGTGGGTGAGATGGCTTTTATAATGCTTTTCAACATCCAACAGAAGGAAAAACACATTCAATGAACTTGAGTAATAAAGCTTCATAGCTTTATCTTTTTACTGACTTTTTCTTATGCATTTATAGATAGCATATTTCCACCTATATATATTTATAGAAAGCATACATTTTTCCTTCTTTACATAGGCTAAACAAACCACCTTTTCTGTTACCTCTCACTAAGCAGGCTCTCCGTTCTCCTGATCAATTCAAACCCATCCCTCATCAGTACTCTGCTAGCAGTACGTCCTAACTCCAGTGGAAACATCTTACCTGATGCATTCTTGCATCCATTTTGCTGACAGTCACCCTCTGCTATCTGTCTGTTCTCCTGCCCACTGGTATTACCCAGCTAACAGTGGAAATTCTAATTCATCCTGAAACGATGATACCTTACACTTGGTACCACTGAATTCCACCCCACTGCTTTTATTTTTCTAGTACTTGAGGCCATTCCAATCTTTCTGGAAGATAGCTTGAACTTACTTTGTATTAATAATATCTCCACTTTGTATTAATAATATCCCCCAGCCCTGCATCATCAAGCAATTTCATTGGTACGCTGTTGCTCTTCATGCCAAAGGTTCTCAATGACAGCATTAAAGAAAACTGGTTCAGCACCAACTGGTGAGAAATTGGAGAGAAATTCCACTAGTGAAATCCTTGGACCTTAACGTTTCTCCTTTCAAAGCTGTTTGCTGTTGCCTTCCTGCTAACTAGTTCCTTATTGCCTTCGACTAATCCCTCATCTCCTTCATGGGTACATGACATTTTGCAGACAGACATGAGCTCAACATACCCATCCTTCCAAACAAGAGATGCTAGGTGAACCCAGTTAACAGCAAGCAGCATTTCCCACATTAAGCTTGTGCCTGCTTGTAAAATAACAATATACACATTCTCCACTGTAATTAATAATTTTCCATATGGCACCACATATAAGCTTATGTGTCAGCTTATATTTAACAAGTTTCCTTGTCTAAATAACCGGTTATCATACCAAAGAAGAATTCTTGCGTGATCTTACTTGGGTGAAAGTTGTACTTCAATCCACTGTTGATGGATCCATGCTTTAAAACATTTTCCTTCCAAATTTACTCTGAGACCTCACAATAAAGACTAACTGGTCTACAATTGTCAGAATTATGTTTTTTGCCCTGCTAAATATAGATGCTGCCTCTGCTAATTCCCTGTCATACTACACCGTACACAGCCTCATAGGATTTATTAAAGAACTTTACTATCATTCCTGCAATTTCAGGTACCAGCTCTTCCAGAATTGGGGATGAAAATTATCCATCCATTATCTCAATCTGAGCACAACAATCTATTGAACAGCTATGATGTACTCCATTTCCATACATACACTTTTCATCGTTGACATCATCATTGCCCAATGCTGAGAGAAAAAAAAAATGAAATCACACACTTTCGGACCTGATCTGGATTGTCCTTCATCTCCATGCCATTCTCAGAGAGGTGGCACATTTCCTCTTTCCTTGTTCTCGTTTCAGTCATTACAC